TACTGCTTCGTCCAGAATCCCCCTGCAGGGGGACATGCCCGACCAAAGTCTTGGGACAGTCTCGCAGCATTCATGGGCCCCTCTTGGGGCTCGCTTGGGCTATCCTGGGGCCTCGCGAGCCCAGCAGAAGCGAACAGGCGACGAGGCACATGACGCATGCCCCTGGGCTCGGGGAGGGACGTGGGCCTCTCGGGGGGTACCCTTTGGGAGGCCCCGCGGCCACTCGGGGCGGCCTCGTGGCCTCCCCGGAGGCCTGGCTGCAGGACATGCTCGGCCACAGTGCGCCGCAGGGTGCCCCCCTCGGAGGCCGCCTCGGCGGGCTCCCTCCGAGGCCATCCGGGGGGCCGCGTCGGGGACGCTCTGAGCCGCTCGCAGAGGGCGCCACGTCCAGGCCCGGGGGAGGATGGGCTCTCGGGGGTGAAGGGCCGCGCTCCCGGCGGGAACGCCGCGAGCCATCACGCTCGAGGAGGAGGGGGAGGAGGAGGAGAAGGAGGAGGAGGAGGAGGAGGAGGAGGAGGAGGAGGAGGAGGAGGAGAAGGAGGAAGAGGAGGAGGAGGAGGAAGAGGAGGAGGAAGAGGAGGAAGAGGAGGAAGAGGAGGAGGAGGAGGAGGAAGAGGAAGAAGAGGAGGAGGAGGAGGAACTCCCACCCGCCCTGCCCCCTTTTCCTCTTCGAATGCAATCCCCTGGCACGTCCCGTGGTACATCGCCTGGCGCGTCCATTGGGACGCTCCGCGGCGCGTCCCCCTGCCGTGTCCCCCCCTGGCGTGTCCCCCTGCATGGCACATCGCAATTCAGCACGGCGCAGCACAGCAAAGACTTCGGCACGGTACATCAAGATCGATGCACTCAGCATTGCATGTGCCCGTCGCCCAATTAGGTGTCTTTGGAAGCGCTGCCATGCCTTACATTTCTATATTCCTTTCCAGGTTCGTGGGTCGCTCATGTTTTGAAATTTCCGACCAGTAACACATGTGGTAAACTGATTGTTTCCCTTGGTTGTTGATGTCTCGAGCGAAAGGCTTGGTTTGCAGGTTATGTTGAGGATGTCTCGAGCGAAACCCGCTTGTTTTGTCCTTCTGATTGCTCCTCTCCTAGGGCTCCCATCCTTTGCGTGTTGCGCGTATTCCTGTAGAATGCCCTAGCGAGCGCCTCAGATCGGGACAAGCGTGAAAACACATGGGCTCCTCACGCCCGAGAGCGGGACAAGCGTGAACACACGTGGGTTCTTAACGCCCCAGGGCGGGGCAAGCGTGAAAACACGTGGGTTCCTAACGCCCCACAGCGGGACACGCGTGAAGACGTATCGGTTCCTAACGCCCCAGAGCGGGACACGCGTGAACGCACACGGGCTCTGAACGTCCCAGAGTGGGACGAGCGTGGAAACACGTCGGTTTCTAATGCCCCAGAGCGGGACACGCGTGACAAGCGTGAAAGCACATGGGTTCTCTTAACGCCCCAGGGCGGGACAAGCGTGAAAACACTGGGCTTCCTAACGCCCCAGAGCGGGACACGCTTGAAATCGCTTGGTTTTCTATCGCCCCAGGGCGGGACAAGCGTGAGAACACGTGGGTTCCTGACGCTCCAGGGCGGGACGAGCGTGAATACACATGGGTTCCTTACGCCCCAGCTCGGGACAAGTGTGGAAACGCGTGTGTTCCTAACGCCCCAGAGCGGGACGGCGTATGTTTCTCCCCCTTCGGCGCGTCTTTTGGCTCGTCCTCTGTCGCGTTCCTTGGCTTGTCCCCTGGCGCTCTCCCTGCCCGTTCCGTGACGCGTCCCTTGCCACGTCCCCTGACACATCTTTTGGCGCATCCCTTAGTGCGCCCCTGGCACATTCTGTGGCGCGTCCATGCGCCCTGCGCCCCGTGTCGTCTCGTCCCGTTTCGGAACTGAGTCGGGGTGTGAGCTCGAGATGATTGAGCATTCCACAGGTTTCGATTGCAACCTGGGCCAGCTATGAGTTCAGGTGGGGATTCGACGACAGTATACGGTAAAGAGTGTGTAAGTGTACAATGTAAGTGTACAGTAGCACTTGCACTTAGTTGAGCGTATTAGTTAAACGTATCATTTAAATGTATTAGTTAAGCGTATGTGTTAAGTGCATTAGTTAAGTGTATGATTAAGTGTATTAGTTCAGTATATTAGTTTCGTGCATTGATCATGTGTAATGATTAATTGTATGAGTTACATGTATGATTAAGTGTATTACTTAAGTGTATGATTGAGTCTATGAGTTAGGTGTATTAGTTAAATGTACGTATGGGGACGGGATGGAAGCAGAGGGGAGGAGAGGGAGGATCGGTGTGTATTAGTGAAGCGTGCTGCGTAACTGTATTAGTTAAGTGTACGTGTGGGGGGAGGAGAGGGAAGGGGAGGAGAGGGACGGAGAGGAGAGGACAGGAGAGGACATGAGAGGTCATGAGGGGACAGGGAAGGAGCGGTGTGTATCAATTAAGTGTATTAGTTAAGTGTATTAGTTAAGTGTACGTGTGGGGGGAGGAGGGAAGGGGAGGAGAGGGAAGGAGAGGAGAGGACAGGAGAGGACATGAGAGGAGATGAGAGGACAGGGGAGGAGCGGTGTGTATTAGTTAAGTGTATGAGTTAAGTGTATTAGTTAAGTGTACGTGTGGGGGGGGAAGGGGAGGAGAGGAGAAGACAGGAGAGGACATGAGAGGACAGGGGAGGCGCGGTGTGTATTAGTTAAGTGTATTAATTGGTGTTCGTGTGGGGGCGGAGGGGAGGAGAGGAGATGACAGGGAAGGAGAGGAGAGGAGATGAGAGGGGAGGACAGGGGAGGAGCGGTGTGTATTAGTTAAGTGGATTAGTTAAGTGTATTCGTTCAGTGCACGTGTGGGGGAGGAGAGGGAAGGAGAGGAGAGGACAGAGGAAGGGCGGTGTGTATTAGTGCAGCGTATTGGTGAAGTGTATTAGGTAAGTGCATGTGTGGGCGAGGGGAGGGAAAGAGAGGAGATGACCAGGAAGGCGCGGTGTGTATTACTTAAGTGGATTAGTTTAGTGGTTTGTCTCGTCTTATCTTGTCATCTCTCTTCTCCTATATTATCTTACCTTCGTTTCCCTTCCCTTCCCGAGTATGTGTTTCACATATTATCTGATCTTCGATTATAGTGTCTTCTCTTATGTTCCTTATCATCGCGTCTCTTCTCTCATCTTCTCTTCTCGTATATTCTCTTCTCTTATCTTCTCTTTTCTATTCCCCACTCACATTTCTCTTACCATGTTTTATAGTATAGTCCGTTCCCTTGTCTTCTCTTCTATCATAGGTTTCTCATCTTCTCGTCTCTTATACGATATTACCTTCTCTTTCTCGTCTCGTCTCTTCCCTTATCTTATCTTCTCTTATCTGCTCTTTTCTTATCTTCCCTTCTCCTCTCTCCTCTCCTTGTCTCTCCTTTTCTCTTCTCTTCTCTTCTCTTCATCGCTTCTCCTCTCTCTCTCTCTCTCTCTCGCTACCCATAGGAACCATTAGGATCCTGTTAGCGCTGTGTCTATGTTAGCGTGGAGTCTCTGTTAGCGTGGTGTTTCTGTCAGCGTGGTGTTCGTTTCTGTTAGCGTGGTGCTTGTTAGTGTTAGCGTGTTTCTTTTAGCGTGGTGTTTCTGTAAGTGCGGTATTTCTGTTAGCGTGGCGTCTCTGTTAGCGTGGTGTCTCTGTCAGCGCGGTGTCTGTTTCTGTTAGCGTGGTGTTCTAGCGTTGTGATTTGTGTAATAGCGTTGTGTTTTGGCGTGGTGTTTTAGCGTGGTGTTTCTGTTAGCGCTGCGTTTGGGAGTGGTGTTTTAGCGATGTGTTTATGTTAGCGTGGTGTTCCTGTTCGTGTGGCTTCTGCGGCTCAACTTGGGGCATTCTTATTTCATTATGCTGGCT